CCAGGAGACAGACAGGCAGAGGTCCTAAGGAGGTGTCTTATCAGTATTTTTCCCAAGCCTTTAAAACAGACTGGAGCAAAAGTTATGAAAATTTCAAAAGAGCCGAAACCGGTTTGGCTCAGTGGATAGAGCGTCAGCCTGCGGACTGAAAGGTCCCAGGTTCGATTGTAAAAAATCAATAAAATATATTTTAAAAAAATTTTCAAAAGAGGCTTGTTTGAAGGATAGGGGAGAAAGGAACTTTCTACTAACTAGAAACTCCTTGGTTTGAATTATCCCTGAGTTGTGAAAATAGCAGGGAGGATGGGGATGCAAGAATGTAGCCTTAAGAGTAACTTATTTTATTCCACAGTTCAAACAGAGGAGCCAACAAATGTGGGGTTTAATTATCAGGTGCTTCTCATAGATTGTGGAAGACCACATCAAAGAAAAAGAAAGACTTTTTCCCTGTCCTTACACTAAGGAAAAAAGAAAAGCAGGCAAATGGACAGTGATAATTGGTAACCAAGAAGGGTGAAAGACCTCTACATGAGGCTGTGATGGGAGCATCACCCATTGCATGTCCACCAGGTGTCTGGCACTACCCTATGCACCCAACATTTGTTATCTCCCTACACACAACACCCCTGTTTTCTAGATGAGGAAACTGAGGTTTAAGGCAGTTAAGTCATGTCCCCCAAGCCCACAGCTGCTGAACAGAAAAGTGGAATTTGAACCAGGTATGACTTAATCTGAAGGCCAGGCTCCTTCCTGAGCAAGGTAATGTCATGAGGAAGATAGTACCACAGATTATCTTGGGAAAAGATAGGGCAGAGAAAGCAGATAAGAAAATATTACGGCAATCCAAATTTGGTTTGAGGTAGTGGCTTAAGAAATGAAAAAGTAAGGGGCTGATCAGAGAAATTACTATAGGGAAATCTTGGTGACATACCCGATGTTCAGGGCAGAGGAGCAAGGAAATGAAAATGATAGGCTTCAAAACTGTAGCAACCAGAAAGAAAAGGGGGAGGCTCAGAAGAGAAGACTGGGGATCATCAGGTAAAAGCTAGAGAAGAGGTGACTTGGCTTCCAGATACATCAAGTTCCCATGGTGATGTTTTAAGAAATTGCCCCTGAGCCCCTGTGAGAGTTTCAGGCACCGCTGATACCATTACTAGGATGCTATCGCTGCTTCACAATTGCAATAAATGCAGACTGCTTACTTTTGCTACAATTGAAGATGCATAATATTCCAGCAGCTTCTAAAATATAGAGTGGTGAGCTGAGCTGGTCATGAGACATGGAATGGAGAGAGCTACTTGCTGTAAGATACTATCACAATGGTCCTGAAGGGCTCAAAGAAAAGGTAGTTCCTGGACTTTGGGGAAACTTGGCATCATGAGGGAGGGCCATTTGGGAGCAAGCAGTTCTAATCAAACCAAAGAGTGACTGTGTAGAGGGATGACTAATAGCTATTTTCTATGGAGGTGTGACTGAGTTGTAACCATCAGTAAAGTGTTGTTTGGAATGTCTTACTCCCTTTGAGTGTGCTGCCAAAAATCCTAGTATTTTAAACTGTAACAAAACCAATAATTTAAAATCTGATAGAAGGTGGAAGGACCTCAAGAGGGTCCCTTAGGTCAGTCAATGTGCATTTCCACCCTTTAGTGTCCAGTCAGTGGTCTGGGTCCAGCAGCAATTCTATGTCTGTAAGGACAGGATCTGAGCTACCCCCCTTCTTTAAACACTTCCTTAGATAGAATCTACTTAACTCAAAGCCTGAATATGGCTACCAATGAATCCAGATGTTCCTAGCAAGTGAAACAGTTTAGAGCAAAGAAAAGACTAATCCACCAGAGAGTTCATTCAAGGAAGCTTGATATGTCCCTGAGTTACTAGGGAGGGCCAAAAGGCCCCACAGGAACTGACTTCTTATCCCTCCTCATTTCTCTCACCTTTCCTCCCCTAAAACTCCCATTCCCTCCATCTCCCAGTATCTGTCCACATCCTCATAGGAACTGACTCCATCTCCCTCTCCATCCCCACCTCTCCACCCCCTACACCTCCCTACTCCAGCGTTATATGAAGGAACTTTTCCATCCACATTCCTGCCATCTCACTATGACTCTTTCTGGTTCATGTTATATCAACTAACTTTGGCTCCCTCTCCTTCCCAATAACCAGCCTAACATAAAATGCCCCCCTCTTGCTCTCCATATCCCCCATGTGCATATACTTCTCTATCCCACCCACAGGAACTAACTTCTACTCTCATTCCCCTCAATTACACCTGCGTATCTCTCTCTGGTCAAGCCCCATATGAAGACACCTTTCCTCCCTCCTCTCCCCCTACCCACAACTCCCATAGAGCTCTCTGGTTCATCCTCCCATAAACAGATGTCTGTGCTCTCTGTGTCAAAATCCCACTTCCACTGCCCTAAAGCTCTCTGGTACAGTCCAACATGAACTTACCTCTGTATCCTTTCCCTCCCATCACCCCCATCCCACAGCAGCTCTCTGCTCAGGCTGAGTGAATTAAAAACTACTCTCTCCTCTTCCCCATCACCCTCAAAGTCCCTAAAGCCTGAACTAACTTTAGTTAGTTCTGCACATGAACTAACTTTTGCCCTCTTCTCCCCCCCCCCCCCCCAATCACTCTTTTCTGCTCACATAGATGACTTCAGTCCCTCCACTTCCCAGTCCCATCTCACTCTCCAATATCTTGCTGATCCATCCCTAATTGAACTGAACTCTGCTACCTTCCCACCTCACTCCACCCTACACCCCCTACATCTCTCTAGTCCACCCACAAGTGCTGACCCCTATTCCCTCTCCCTCCGTGCTCATCACATCCACCCACTTCAGCTCTGTAAACAATCCCCATGAGCTGATCTACCCTGCCTTTCCCTCCCTAATCACGCCCCCCCCCACACACACACACATCCAGATTTTACCCAACTACTCCCCTTACAACTCCCTGGTCCAGCTGCACAAAAACTAACCTCTTCTGTTTTTTCTGTCCCTCATCTCCCCGACATCTCTTGTCCAGTCCCACATGAAATGACCTCTGCTCCCTTCCCTCACCATCACCCTCCACTCACTCTACAACAGTGGTTCCCAACCTTTCTTTGGCCATGCCCCACCTAAGCATCTCTAAAATCCTAATGCCCCCCCCCCCATGACATATAATTCTTATTATTCAAAAAGTGAACTATTCATGTGGAGGAAGCCTAAACGGCCATTAACTTGGTCTAAACAGTTTCTAAAAAACGTGGCAACCATGAAAGAGAAAAATAAAGGAAAAGGAGAGTTGAAGTACTGAGGAAGAAATCATTAAGAAATTGTTAAAAATAATAATATGAAGTGATATGAAAAAATAGCAAAAAAGTTTCAAAACATAATAAAGAAGTGAAATGCATAAATGTCACAGTATGTTTATATACTGTATACGAGGCCCTGAGAACCATAAGAAATGCAAAAAATTCACTGTTAATTACTCATTCTCAAATTGCCCCCCTGTGGGGTGTGTACCCCACATTGGGAACCACTGCACTACAACTTTCTGCATCATCTGCACCTGCACTGACCTCTCCAACCATTTCCTCCCCATCCTTCTCACTTTCTCCATCCATTTATTTGGTCCTGTCCCACACAAACTGACCCTAGCCCTCTCTCCATCCACATCCTCCCATCCTCTTGCAGCTTTATTTTATGCCTCCACATGAACTGGCCCCATCTCCAGCTCCCTGTCTCCATCTTCCTGAATCCCCTGCAACTCTCTGCTCTAGTCCCTCATCCACTTATTCTGTCCCTATTCCCTCCACTGAGTAACTGACAACCTATCTTACAATGGCTGCTTGGCACAGGAGACTCAGGGGGTTGGGGGTCAAGTCCACCAGGATGCCAGTGTCCAGGGACTGAAACCCACAGCCATGCTTCTTAACATGCTCCCCACCTAGGGTTGCTAGGTGAAATATAGGGCACCCAGGTAAAATGGAATTTCAGATCAACAATGAATAAAGAAACAACAACAAAGTCTGAATGGGACAAACCTGTATTAAAAACAATTTGTTGATTTGAAATTCAAATTGACCTAGATGTTTCTTTTTTTTAATTAGCTAAATCAGGCAACCCTATCTTGGAACTAGGATGCCCTCAGCAGTCTGAAATTCATTCTCTCCCCACCCTGTGTGGGTAAAGGAGCATTACATCCTTATTCATTTTCCATTCCAGCCCTTCATCCTCCCACCCTCAGCCTAGAGCAGAGACTTAATGCCATCTGCCAGGGATTCTCTTACAGGTCATCCCTTGTGGGACCAAAAGGGAACTGAACAAGGTCACCCAGTGCAACCTGATGCCAATATTCTAAGAAACCATCCAGCAAATAAACTGACCAGAGGTTGGCTGAATTAAACCTACTGTCATAAGAACCTGGATTTCCCTGATTTGTCCAAACATGAATTGCCAATAACTCTTTTTTGGCCTTACCCTTCATCAAAACCATTTTTAGGGCATCATTTAGGGTTACATGAAATGGATTCTTCTAGTTTTGACCACTGACAGGTTTCCAAGGCAAAGAAACAACTCATGCCAATAGTAAAGGATTATTTCATTTTCTGCCCACAGGCTGGTAAGGAGTTTGGGATCTACCAGACTGCCTTCAACACAATGGTTTAGAACAGTGGTTCTCAACCTTCCCAATGCCGCGACCCTTTAATACAGTTCCTCATGTTGTGCCCACCCACCATAAAATTATTTTCGTTGCTACTTCATAACTATAATTTTGCTGCTGTTATGAATAGTAATGTAAATATCTGATATGCAGGATGTATTTTCATTGTTACAAATTGAACATAATTAAAGCATAGTGGTTAATCACAAAAACAACATGTAATTATATATGTGTTTTCCGATGGTCTTAGGCGACCCCTGTGAAAGGGTCGAGACCCACAGGTTGAGAACCACTGGTTTAGAAGATTAACTCAGTCAAGGCCAAAGAACTCACTCTTAGAGAACAAAAGCTCAAACTAAGAAAGGCTTTATTTTAAGACAAAACAAACAGGAAAAAGACATCCAAATGCAAGTGAGAGAGTTCACTGTATTTTTTAAAAGAGAAAGCTGCACTTAGGTGTCAATTAAAACCAGAACCATTGTAGAGATGCCTGCTGTTTATGGTGACAAAGTTACAACATGTGTTTGTCTGAGAAGTCTTTCTATGGTGGCATAAATGTGGGACTGCATGACAAGAGTGAAGCAATACAAGGTAGAATGGCAAGTGGGTAAATGCTCTAATGTGCTCTTGTTCTGTTTTGAAGAATTAAAGAAAGCAGCAGGTCACCTCACAAAGAACTATATTGTCAAAAAACACTTACAAAAGTTGAAAATGGATGTGAGGTTGTTACTAAAGGTATATAGGGAGGTTAGTGGGGGAAAAACACTTGTGTTCTCAAAAACCAGGTTTCACACAATAACAGGCACTAAAACTAGTTGTGTGTGCTTGCAACAAGAGAGAATACTCTTAACGATGGCTGGTCTTTTTCATGACATGCAGGAAATCTTCCTCATTGACTTCCCCGTCTCCATCTCGATCAGCTTTATCGATCATTTCCTGCATGACAGTAAGGATTCAGGTTAGATTAATTCATAATGAAGCTAAAATGTGACCAAGCAACAGGCTTTTCTAATACTACATGAATAGACAATTGTCCAAGGTTCCTGAAAAGTTATCTGAAATCTAAGTCATACTTTGTCATATATATCACCTAGAAGGGAGCTCGAGTGGATTCCTAAAGCCTAACACTGAAAGTAAAACTGTCCATGTGTGTATTTTTCTGAGAGCAGGGTGCATAGGTTTGTCACACTACAAAAGGGAAATTAAGTGGTCAACAGAGGGACAAGAAAAAACACTAGTTTTCCTTCAAAGTGGTGCTCACATCAGACAAAATGTAACTCAGAAGAGTCACCCAGAGCTCCAACCAGGAATTCTGGGTTCCAGGCTGGTGCATTACAAACCTGAAGCTCCTCATCAGTGATGTCCTCACCCAACTCCTTGGATACACGTTTGAGATTGTCAAATGATATGGTCCCAGTTTCATCATCATCGAAGAGCTTGAAAGCTTTCAGGATGTCTTCTTTGGAATCTTTCTCGCACTTAACAAGTAGAACATAAAATACATGAGTAATGAAACACTGCAGTTATTCATTACTGTATAATCCCTCTGCCCTCCCCTACATCATTGCTTGGTCTTGGTGACAGCCTTTGTGACATAGGTCCTAGGAGATCAAACATCATTCAGGGTAGAAAAAGAGGACAAACTCAATGACATTACAAACCCTAGAAGCTAAAAAGGAACTTAATAAAGCACTGCACTTAACGCATTCTTTCTATACAAACCAAAGAGAAACTGGACTTGTTTTTAAAATACAGTAGGAGAGGGGTGCAGTTAAAATTAGGGAAAATATAGGGGCTGCACCTTGTCAAAATGTGAGATACTGTAATATTGTTGGTGTTTATAGGCTTTATTGCTTGTGGTTATCATATTGACATACCAGTTAAAGAAAGACAATAGCAAAAAAGTGACAGCAGTAGTACCTTCACTACAGAGGGTAACATGACTTTTCCTGTGACTATGGTCTTGAAGAGCTAACTTACCATTTTTTGAGTCATCACAGTCAAGAAGTCATTGAAATTCATTTTCCCTGTACCTTCTGGATCGATTTCACTTATCATCTTCATAATCTCTTCTTTCTTTGGTTCAAAGCCCATTGCTCTCATCACCACCTACAATGAAAACAGGAATATCTCAATATACACATGTAAATATAGCAAGAGCAAAAATGACAGTGTTGGGAGCATTAAGCCAGCATCTGCACTCATTTTATTGAATCACACTTGAGGTAAAGATAGGAAAACAGCACAGTGTATTCTTCCCTTGTTACTTTTTTCAGGGAGAAGAGGACAACGGGAGTAGAATGGTGACAAGGAAAGAAGACAACGAGGCACAGGAAAGGAAAGGAGGCAGAGCAGGAATGTACAGATCTTGCCTTGAGCTCTCTAACATCAATGGTCCCAGTTGAATTAGTATCGAAGAGATCAAAAGCTTGGCGTAGCTCCTGTATCTGCTGTGGACTAAGCTCCAGCTTAGGACTCACTCTTTTTGGCTGGGAAGATGATGCCACGCTTGTCTTCTTATGGCTAGAAGAAGCCTTTAGATGGTTTACAAACACATAAGCACAATATTATGTAACGTAGTCCATATATTACATAAAATAAAGACAACCATATATGCTTTTAAAATACTTTATACCAACCAATCCCAAAGCTTTGCTTAATTGGAGGGATAATAGGGTTTATTGGGAATAACAATCTTTCCATGCACCTCTATCCCTCCCTCTGTTTACTATTGTTTCTAGAAGCAAGGACCAAAAGCTAGCTAAGAACCAGAGTGTGGATAACTGTACAGATGACAAACATTCCCTGAATTCTAATTCTAGAATGTCCTTACAACAGCCACTCGCGGTACTCCGTTTCCCTCTAAGTATTAGTTCTGATTACTTCTAGATTTGGCCAAATATTAATAAGATGTACATTCTGTCAATATCAAATAATAAAACTCAATCCATTGGGCACATCTCTCTCTGCCTTCCCCAAGCAGGTCAGAACGTCTCCCGAATGGCCCTACATTTAAATTTCAAAATGAGCGTTAACAAATATCATAAACCTCCCCCCAAACACTGTGAGTCTAAGAGGGTTCAGACCTGCGGAGGTTCCGAGTCTTCTTTGGCCTGGAACAGCTTGCCCAGAGGGCCGCGCATGCCCGGGGGGCGGCTGCGGGCCGGCTGTGTGTTAAGAGGAGGCAGCGAAAAGGCACAGGCCCCCCCGCGAGGAGGCTGGGGTTTCTTCGGACCCTTCGGAGAAAGATAACAGAGTAAGGAGGGACATGCTGAAGCCAAGAACCGCACGGGAAAGACAGAGGGAAGGCCTAGACCTGGTTAAGGGCTAAGCCTCCAGAAAAGGGGCGCGGCAGAGGGCGGCACTCACCATCTCCAACCGACTCCCGCTCCCGGTTGTTAAGGTAACCAATGAATACTCACTAACTGGGCGCAGTTTCCCGTCGCGCCACGCGCGCAGCCCCGCTCCCCATTGGTGACGCGCTCGCCACCGCCGCTCGCCATTGGCCTAGACCTTGAGTGGGCGGGACCAACTGACAAAGGCCCCGCCCAAGTCTAGGAGCGCGCGCTCCAGGCGCATCCCTGACCTCATTGGGCAGGGCCACGCCTCGTGCGTAGATTGGGTGAGCCCGCGCCTAGCCGAGCAGGTCCCGGTCTTAAAGGAGCCTCCGCCTGTTCTTTGCTCACGCGGGCTCCAAGAAAAGGGTGGCGGCCAGCGACCGAAGCTCTGTAGGTACCGGCTGCAACTTTCAGGGGGGACGTTTACGGACGGGTAAGGGTCGCGACCTCTCCCTTGGAGGCTGCCTTGTGTTGGCGACTGGGCCGGAAGGCAAGAGGCTGGGTGGGGCGGTCCAGGTCCGGGCTTTATAGTCTGGCCTAACCAGCGGTTCTCAACCTGTGGGTCGCGACCCCTTTGGCGGTCGAACGACCCTTTCACAGGGGTCGCCTAAGACCATCCTGCATATCAGATATTTACATTACGATTCATAACAGTAGCAACATTACAATTATGAAGTAGCAACGAAAATAATTTTATGGTTGGGTCACAACATGAGGAACTGTATTTAAAGGGCCAGGAGATTGAGAACCACTGCCTAAGACTGAATTAGGGTCAGAGGGCCTCACACCTTATGTGTTGGAGTGCAGGTTATTCACGAGACCCAAAGAAGGGAAGGGACTGCCGAGCATTGTCGCACAGGTTCGAACGACTGGGGCTTAGAAGCCGAATCCACTTGAGGCTTTCTTTGAAGGTGTCCTTTTGAGAGTATCCCCCCCCCCACACACACACACCCAGACCTGGTTCCAAGTGAGAATCACTTGAGTTCTTCCCTGGCTAAAGCAGCCCAGGAAGGTGGTTGGGGGCCTGGGAACGGACTTGGGAATGAAGGAGATGAGAGGGAGAGGGCATCACAATACACTCTTTTTGACACCCAGACACTTGAAGGCAGATAGGGAGGAGCATTCCAGGGGAGACATTCTCCTGAGTCAAGTCACAGAGGAGTTTCAGAAGTGTGAGGCATGCTTGGAGGTGTATAAGGGGGCGGGTGTATGCAAAGGAAAGCTGTAGCGGAGGAGCTGCAAGTGCGGGGTCCACCCTCCTCAACCAGCCCTGTGTTAAGAGCTCTAGGGCTCCACGTAGCTTCGAGCCCTTACCTGCTTCCCCTCTGGACATTGGGGCAGTATTTAGGGAGGCAGGGCCCAGAGCAAAAGTTTTTCAGACTGAGAAAGGCCTGAGGTTTATTAGCATTCCTTAAATGAGAGTGTTTACACACCTGTCCTTTGCCCTCTTCCGCTTTGAACATGAACTGGGTCCAGACCTTTTGGTCAGGTTATATATGATTCCTTTTTTTTTCTGTCCCCTCCACATTAACCAGCTTCTAAGTTCTACCCTTAAGTGCCATTTATTTCTTTTCTTCTTTTTCACCTCTGCTGCTCCACTCCCAATGTGGGCCTTCAGCATCAGCCTCCCAACTAGTCTAAGTCCAAGTTCTCACCTTGGTCTGCAAGGCCTGGCATGACACACCCCCTCCTCTCCCCAGCCCCCCCAGCCCTGGGACACTGGCTTCCTTATTGGGCCTCAAAAGCACAGGCACACCCCTACCTTAGAACTTTTGCTACAACAGTCACTTCTGCCTGCTTGGTCCACTTCTCCCCCCCACCCCCCAGACTTTGTTTCACTATTGCCTTCTCAGTGAGCGACCCTAAGCTCCTTATTTAGCCCTGAAGCCCCCAGCACACCCAAGCCCCACCTCTTGCTCTACCTTTTTCCCCACAGTGCTTATCACCTTCTAACTTACGGTACCTTTTACTTATTTATTTTGTCTTTATTGCCCATCCAGCAAAAGGTTAGCTCTTTGAAGGCAGGAACCTTTGTTCACTACCAGCACACCAGTACCTGCAACAGTGAGAGGGGACACATACTAGGTGCTCAATAAATCTTGGTTGAAAAACTGGTGAGTAATCCCCCTGTTTCCTGCTTCTTACCTGTTTAGTCTACCCGGTTCTATCAGGTTAATCTTCCCAGTGAACAGCTCTGGTCAGGTCACCCCCATACTTTTACACCTTCAGTGGTTCCCCTGGGTACAGAGTAAAGTCCAGACTCAGCCTAGCATCTGAGCCTCCTGCCCAGTTTTGCCCCTGCTAGTCTTTCTTATTTTGTGTCCCTCCACACCCTACTTCCCAGTCAGTCTGTAGGTGGCAGACTGACAAGAAACAACTACACGTTCTGTCTTGACTGTGCACCAGCTGTGTGACTTTAGGCAAGTCGCTTGACCTCTCTGAGCCTCAGTTTGTCCTCTGTTGAATGAGACCAGTACCGTCTCCCTAACTGGATACAGGTTTTCAGGCAATATTAGTTCTTTTCTCTGATTTGCTCTTGTCATTCCACCTACCTAGCATGCCTGGAGTCTTAGACTTGGCTAAAATCCCTTCTCCATACTGCAGCCAGAGTGATCTTTTTGATCTTAACACTCACCCCGGCTTACAACTTCCAAGGGATACCCCATTTCCTCAAGTAACTTCTTAACCTTGCATGCTCTCCATTTTGCTCCCAATCTTTTTATTATCTTTTACAATCCTAAGTCAAGGATCTGGTTTGTTTTGTTGTTTTTTGTTTGTTTGTTTTTAGAGAGAGGGGAATGGAGGGACAGAGAGAGAGAGAGATCGTGCAGTTGCCTCCCATACACTCCCCAACTGGGGATCGAACCCACAACCTTTTTGGTGTACAGGATGATGCTCCAACCAACTGAGTCACCCAGCCAGGACTTTGCTCCCAATCTTGCTTCACACTCACCATGACATTTGTCATAATTGCCACAGCATGCTGGCTCTGTGCCATCACCTCATCATTCTCACCCTGAGCCATGGAATGTCTTTTAGGACACCCACCCCGTCCACTTGACTCACTCCTTCCGGCCTTGAGAGCTCAGCTCAGGGATTGCCTTCTGGACCCGGCTTCCTGCTCTGGGGTTACCCTCAGCAGAGCTCAAAGGCACTTCGGCAATGCTCTCCTAGGTCTGTCTCTCACACTAGGTGGTGGGCTCCTTCTTATGCAGGTTCTGCTTAGCAGTGGCCAGCATGTGGTGTCTTGTGAGGGAGAGAATGTAGGAACAAGTGAGCTGACACACCTGGGTGCTCTTTTACAAGCTGCAGCTCCCTTTTATCCCTGGGGCTTGTTTGGGCCCCACCGCAGCTCCGGGGTCAGCAGGAGAGATTGGCCTCCCTACAGGTGCAGTCTCTTAGACCAGCCACAGCAGCGCAGATCAACCCCGACTCCATTCCAGGCTCTTTGCTGGCCCTCCAGGGGCTCACAGCCTAGTGGGCCAAGACAGATGAGGAGGAAAGGTATAAACCAGTGTGCAAAGTGATAGAATGGTGCTAAGGAAGCTGCTAACCTTGCTTAGGGAGGGAGAAGGGGTTTCACAGCGGTGGCAGTTGAGCTAGGCCTTGAAGGATGAGGAGGAACTCACCATGGAGCAGAGAGGAGACCGCATATGCTAAAGCTCACAGGCATGCTGTTGGCTTTCCCAGTGGTCACCATATATTCAAAGCCAGGGCCTTTCTGTGTCCTAAAAGTAAATAGATAAGCAGAGAGATGGATGACTGACAGAAACATACAGATAACTCAAATCTGTGAAAGGACAAGGACAGAATATTCATCTTTCTCTGTCTGGTTTGACATGGACAGACTATCCCTTTCTTTTCTCTCCAGGACTCAGCCGTGTGGAACTTGTCCCAGCAGAAAGGAGAAATAGGCTTCACTCACTCTTCTCTTCATTGGATCCTGTCAGCAGCCCTCCTCCTCTTGCCCAGAAGTTGAGTGAAGCACTTGGATTTCACCAATAGAAGGTAGCTCTCTTTTCCTAGATTCTTTGCAGCCTAACACTTTGTCCCAGTGTATAGAAGAGCACACATATACTGGTTTTTAATGTATTCAGAGATCTGCCATGTTAAAGGAGAAAGACTTCAGGCTTCTGATTTGTGAACTTTAACAATCAGCGTCTCACACGTTGCTCTTTGGGGACTTATTTTCCCCTTCAGAACTGTTCTGAGTGAATGTGCAGTAAAGTAGAACTGAAATTTTACCATTTTCACCATTTTCAGGTGTACAGTTCTGTGGCATTTAGTAGATTCACATTGTTGTGCAGCCATCACTACATTCCATCTCCCAGAATTCTTTTCATCTTGTAGAACTGAAACTCTATTATATCTACTAAGCAGCCGCTCCCCAATTCCCTCCTCCCCAAGCCCCTGGCACCCAACATTCTACTTTCTGAATGTCAGAATGTCTCCTTTTTTGAATTTTATGTTATTGTGGAAAGAACACTGAACATGAGATCTATCCTCTTAACAAATATGTAAGTGTACACTACAGTATTGTTGGCTATGGGTACAATGCTGTTCAGCGAATTGCTAGAACTTATTGCTCTTGCTTAACTGAGACTTTCTGCCTACTGATTAGCAACTCCCCATTTCCTCCTCCCCTAGCCCCTAGTAACTCTTGATTCTATGAATTTTACTATTTTTATGTTGTTGTTGAATTTAACTATTTTAGATACCTTAGATAAGTAAAATTGTCTTTCTGTGACTGGCTTATTCACTTAGCATAATGTCCTCAAAGTTCACCCAAGCTATCACATATTATAGAATTACCTTCGTTCTAAGGCTGAGTAGTATGCCATTTTATATATATAGCACATTTTCTTCATTTATCTGTCGATGATATTTAGGTTATTTTCTATCTTGGCTATTGTGAATAATGCTGCAATAAAGCTTAGGAGGGCTCATCTCTTTGAGATCCTGATTTCAATTCTTTTGGGTATATACACAGAGGTGGAATTCCTGGATAATATGAAAATTCCGTTTTTAACTTTTCGAGGAACCTCCATACTGTTTCCCATAGCAGCGGCACCATTTTATATTCCCACCAATAGTGCACAAGGATTCCATTTT